CAGTCCTGGCAGAATCTAATCACACGCATGGCCCAGGACTGGCAATGACTCGGTCTACTGTCCCTGGGGTCGCCATGAGCCAGGGGGCAGCTGAGTTGGCAGCTAACAACATAGACCAGGCAGAGTCCTAGGCTCAGAAGACAGTCCTGAATTCAGAACACAGAGTGGGTTCTGATTCATTAGGACCCTGTCTATGCAGGGCCCCCAGACAGTAGATTTTTACAAGAACAGACCGCTGCCTCCTCTCTCTCCCACAGAGCAGCTGGTGGGTTTGAACAGAAGACCGCAGGCAACAACAGCCCACAGCACACCAAGGCCCCACCCTACCAAGTACCTGATTTCAGCAGGTTCTCTGTCTAGGGGTCAGTGCGCCCATGAAGCTGGAGGGTAAGATACCCAAGAGACTAGGTAAAGCCCGCTCGGAACAGCAGTTAACACAAGGAAGCCTCCAGCAGTTGTCTGGGGGCCCTGGGGGCATGGTGAACGCCCATTTGGGCTGTGATCCATCAGCCGTAGGAAGGGAAAGACTGGGCGTTCCACTCTGTCACCAGTTTTACCTTCTCAGGTCCCTTTGGGTCAGCACTGACACAATGGCAGCCAGTTTGGTTTAGAATGAGGGCAATAATAATGATGATCATTTAGAAATTACTCACAAGGGCCCTGGCTGCATTCTGGGAGTTTTAATCCTTTTTCATTGGTGAGGAGATGGAAGCTTCTAAGGGGTCACCTGCGGCTCCAGGAGCTTCAGGGAGCCAGATTGACAGACTACCAAGAGGGTGAAGGGCTGGTGAAGGAGGGAGGGGGGCAAGCTTGCTGAGCACCTATGCTAGTTATCATAACAAAAACCACAGCTTCCCCTGGGTCCCACGGGGGCAAATACCTGGCCAATCGCGCAGAGATAGGCCCTCAGAGTAAATAAATTTGCTGGCCGGGTTGCTGTTCTGGACACCGGAGCCTCCTTCAGACATTCCAGCGGGGAAGCGGGGCCTGGGCCCCGTCCCGGGGAGGGGAATTCGCAGGGCTCTGGGGTGGGGGAACCCCGAAAGCCCGGGGGAAGAAGCAGAGCCAAACCGGGGCCCACTCCTCTGTACCCGCACACCGGGGGTCTGGGAGCAGCCCCGCTGCCTCCAAGCAAGTTCTCCCGGAGGGCAGGGCTGAGGGCCCCCGCGGAACCCTGTGGGTCTGTCTCTCTGCAGCCATGTGCGCAAAAGCTGGGTCAGGGTCGCCTTCCGCGCCCTCAGCGCTGGGTCCCACGGGCCCCAGAGCCAGTAGTAGAGCCTCCCGTGTGGCACCCCGTCTGCCCAGCTCCCAGCTCCGTCTCTGCCTCCTCGCCCGCCTCGGCCCCTAACTCTCGGCTCTGATTCTCTTTGCGGGGTCTCTTCCCATCTCACCTGGGTCGCCGCTCCCCCCAGTCCTAAGGACTTAAGCCAGGCCACGCGAGAAGGGGGAGGGAGGAAGTGGAAAATGCCCGAAGAACTGACACCTCCCTGGGGGGCTGGGCAGGGCTGGTTACAAGACTCCTCTGGGGCCGAGCCAAAGGCCACCCACCCAGCTCACCTGCAGGGGCGCTCATTGGAACTTGGGGCGGGGTGGGGGTGGGGGGTCGCCCAAGTTGCCAGAACTTTGCCTAGCAGCTCCACTCTGGGACGGGGAGGCGTAATAGGGTGGGGCCCCTGGGAACCAGCGCCCTGGTCCCTCGCCACCTGCCGCTGCACCTAGCCATCCTCCCCTTCGCCCGAGACCCCAGGGCAGGGACCCCGACACCGAGGTCCGGGCCTGCGCGCGGCCCGGCGGCCTTACCTGCGTCCATGGCCGATGCGGGCGGCCGGTGGCCGGTGCGCGCGGGGCTGCCGCGGCTCGCCGGGCCCGCCACCGCCCGGCTGCCTCCCCTTTCGCCGCCGGCTCGGGTTTCCTGGTGCCGGCTGCGCGGCCGGTTAATAATTGACCGCCTGTTTGCAGACGGCTGTTTCAACAGGTCGCTCCCCGCGCGCCCTGGTGCTGCGTCCTCGTCGTGCGCGCTGCGGACCCCGCGCCGGCCGGCTCAGGGTGGGGGCTGCCTCCTTCTGCTGGACCCAGTGGGTGTCCCGTGTCCCCAAAGGCGGGACTCAATCGCAGCCTGGCGGGCGCCGCGAGGCCCAGTCCTTCGCCTGGAGGAAGGTAGTGACTTTAAGCGGCGTTTGAAATGAGCTGGGTGGGCTGGAGAAGCCGGTCCGGCCGCACAGGAAAGAAGCAGCCATTGTACATGAAATGCCTGCCGGGCCAGGCAGGCCAGCAGGGAGCTGAGAAAGAGCGGTCAAAATTGTGACCAGCCAGGACCACTCCCAGTGTTTGTTGTTTCCCCTGCCGTCCAGAGACGTCAGAAATGCAGATGACTCGAAATGTCCAGATTCCTAAAACAGAAACTCACCAGCCTGGATTCCTGGAAGCCTGTTTCCGTGCAAATAGATGGAACTGCTTGCCAGGCGTCCTTTGAAGTTCACCGCTGAGCTTCCGAGATAGCAAGAGGAGGCCCAGGGCCCAGGATGTCCTGGATGCCCAGGGCACAGTGCCTGGGGGCCTAGGGGTGCTTCTGTGGGGTTACTGGCCGCAGGGATGGAGGTGTGGGGGTTACACCCAGATGGGGACAGGGAGATGGAACCTTGTAGCCGGAAGTTGGCAGGCAGACAGGGCAGAAGGTAGAATCGGCGAATTGGCGGCGCATGGACCACAAAGAGTATAAGGAAGTTGGTCTAACACAACAACAACAAACTCACTACCATCAAGCCAATGCCCATGCATGGCCACCCACCATCCTGGAAAGGGTAGAACTGCCCCAGTGGGTTTTGTACATGGTAACTATTTCCGGGTGTAGAAAGCGCTGTCTTTCCCCATGGTCAGTCTAGACTACAATGCCTTGGGAGGTGTAACTGCAGTCTTGTTGAGTACAGAAACATGGGGTTCACATTTCAGCCCACCCAAGTGGTCAGGGTGGCGGAGTGGTTACACGCTGGGCTGCTAACCCCAAGGTCAGCCGTTTGAAACCACCAGCAAGCTCCTGGGGAGACAGACAAGGCTTCCTACTCCCATAAACAGTCAAGTCTCTCGGAAGCTCACAGGGGCAGTTCTGTGCGTCAGAGTTGATTTGACAGCACTGAGTTTATTTAGGTGCTCCAATAAAGGAGCCACCAGTAAAATCGGGGTGGCAGCAAAAAGGAGGAGGACCCTTGACAAGATGAATTGGCACAGCGACAACGGGCTCAAAGGTAACAATGATCAGGACGGTGCAGGACCTGCACGGTTTGGTTCT